ATATATATGTCATTATTGACGAAGGGGTTCGACCAAAATCTCCTTCCGCCCACCTAGCTCCGCCCTCGATAACGGAACAAGGAAAGGAAAACAATTGTTTCCAAACCCTTAGTCGATGCTACAATATTAGGGGGTCGTTTGGTACAATAGTGAGATATTTCATGGGATTAGTTATCCCACATTCTATGTAGGATAACTAATCTCACAATTTTAGTGTAAAAGTTATCCCAGAATTAGCAATACTCCAAATAAAAAATAAGATAAAATTAATCCCAAATTTTATCCCGAAATTATTATTCCTATCCCATGTACCAAACGACCTTTAGTGGACTAATAACCTCGACGTCTCAACACGTCAACTAGTAAAACAAACTTTAATATGAGAATGCAATTGTGTATTTACATGAGGTTTTGTATTTTTTTTAGTTGATATGTTATAATTTTATAAGTAATAAGTTAAGTAATTTATTTTCTTTATAAATAGCAATAATAATGAAGAAGAAGAGTCTTGACGTAACTAGTAATGTTGCTGTCGTGTGATCAGTAGGTCACGGGTTCAAGTGGAAAGTGCGCCCACAACCGCTTTTGGCTGGAAGCCTGGAACTCATACAAAGATTCCAAATTTCGAAGCCAACCATATTAAACAAATTGACAAATCAAACGTCACTCCTCTAAACCCATTTCCACACAAATCCAAGCTTCCAACCAAATAAAACATTAAACTAAAACTAAAGAAAAACTAGGGTGTGTGGTCGTGGTTTGGAGTAATTAGTCTAAGCATAAGATTTTGTATAGAAATATATAGTATTATTTGATTAGCTGTACAAGAAAAAGTAATTCGTTGCACTAATAAAATAAATTCAATATCGTAGTCAAAAGATTATTATATTAATTTAAACTATTTTAGCATAGAGTTGAAGATAGCCTTAGATTAAGAGTAAAATTGCCTCAGTGTGGCTTATAAGTTACGAGTTCAAATCGTTGAAGTGGTCAGTAATAGATGCATCATTAAGGTAGGTTATCTATATCACATTTCTTGAGATGCGGTTCGATCTGTAAAAGTAATCACTAATGCTCATCATTAGGGTAGGATACCTCTTGGGATACTGCCTTTTTTCTGAACTCATCTGATATGGTTCAAGTCGTAAAAGTAGTCACTAATGCTTGCATCATTAGAGTACGATGTCTACATCTTGCTCCTTGGAGTGCAGCCTTCCTCGAACCCTGAGCGGTCGCAAAATACTTTGTGCATTGGACTCCTTCTTTTTTTTTTTTTTTAAATAAAGCACAGAGTTCAAATCTTTCCATAGTCATAGAGATTGTGCTCCATATCTTCCTTACACCAATATTTAAAACGTCATCCATCAAAAATATTTTTTTTATTTTTATTGTTATAAATAATAAAGGAATGAAGAAAAAAAGATACTACTAGTCTACTAGTAGTAACTTAAGGAACCTATTGGTGTAAAATTTATGAGTTTCGAGAAGTGGGCCGGGTCTCGGGTTTTGCTAATTTAGGGATTAGTGCCCGTTATTGATTGTTTTCGCTTGGGCTTTGTTCCTTTGTTCATATTTTGACGTCCTCGTTCTGATTTAGGATAGATTCGACGCGCATGGAGGCTGATTCAAGGGGCAAAGGCGTCGCGAGCTCGAGATTTAGCCGGTTCGAGGTGAGTAATGATTGTAAATGATGTTCTGAGGGTTTGAAACCCCGGNCCCCAACCCCCACCTACCTCCTCCGCCACCTATATATACACAATACATACAAAAACACTATTGTGAAGGAAATATAAATCTGTATTTTTCTTCTTCTTTTTGTATTTATAGAAACTGTTTTTTTGTTAATAATATTATTTGCTCTGACAATATACATACAGGTGTATTTGTATGTATATGACTATATATTTTTGCAGAGCCAGGGTCTAGGGTTTGAGTTTTTTCAGATTTGATTAGCTGAGAGGTGAATAAATGAGCTGATTCTCAAGCTGCTGTTAACTGCAGCTTTCACTTTCTCAGTCATTAAAACCGCCAATTATATAAATTCAGTTCATGAATTAAATAATTAGAAATCTGAAATAGTGAATATTCGTATTCATTAATTCAGCTGTACCTGTTACGTGTATTTATAGCAAAAAATACATACATGTCGATTCTAAGGCGTAGGAAGGGCACAGAGCCCAAAATAACCTCGGATTCAGAGCCTGAGTTCGAAGAATTTAAGGATAAGAATAAGGAGAATAATTTAGGTTCGAGGAGGTTAAGGAGAAAGAGGAGATGGGGATGTGTGGACGGATGTTGTTGGTTTATAGGTTGTATATGTTCGATATGGTGGTTATTACTGTTCCTTTACAACGCAATGCCGGCGTCGTTCCCGCAGTATGTAACGGAGGCGATAACGGGGCCGTTACCGGACCCGCCGGGAGTTAAATTGGCTAAAGAAGGGTTAAGAGCTAAACATCCGGTTGTATTCGTGCCGGGAATTGTGACTGGTGGACTTGAGTTGTGGGAAGGACATCAATGTGCTGAAGGCTTGTTTAGGAAGAGGCTTTGGGGTGGTACTTTTGGTGAATTGTACAAAAGGTACTTACTTTAGCTTTTATTTCTTTTTTTAGTAATTCCAATTTGTGTGCTTTAGCTTTAGCTTTTTTATGATGTTGTGGAGTTTGGTTACACTACAGAGTGGATTATTTGTGCATCAAAATATGGTAAGTGAAAAGGATCTTTTGATGTTATTCAGGGAAATTAAGTGAGAAAGGTGTTGTTAGTCGTTAATGGAAAGGTTCTGAAAGCTGAAAAGAATTACTCTTTACTGAAATGTGAGGATTTATCATGAAATTGGTTAATTACCAGCCTAAAAGATTCATTCTTTACTAGTAATAGTATTTTTTTTGACAGTTTCTTGTGAAGTTAACAACTATTGTTGGCTATTAGTATTCACTATCTCCTTTACCTTTTTTTGTTCAGTTGTCACTCAAAAACAACCAAAAAAAAAGGGGGGAAGAAGTGGATATTGGATTGGTGGGAGATATGGCATTTGTTCGGAAATTATCGAAAACAGACTCTGCAAACTTAGTTTTTTAAGCTTTCTGAACAGTTTTTGCAACTCTGTTTCTTGGAAATTTTCAAACAAATGCCTTTAGGTGGAGTAGGCTAATGAGGCAAATAAAGTAGGTATGTGGTTAGGTTCTCAAGTTTGTAATTCATAGTTTGGAAATAAAGCATCCTTATTTTCTTTAAATCTTTTCTTTTGTTTGTCTTGCTAATGAAAAAGTGTGATTTCACTGCTTAGTTTGGTCGATTGGAAGTGAAATTTGCTTTAGAGTGAACCAATCAAGGTTATCTAACGCCAACTGACTAATTATTGGTCAGGCTTTAAATTTCTCCAGTGTTTGAACCATAATAGTCGATGAAGATCAATTGAGTTATTACTGAATCTTCTGCTTCTAAATTTGTGCTTACAAGACATAACAAAGAGCTCTCTTTTTGTCCAATAAAATGCAGACCTCTTTGCTGGGTGGAGCATATGTCACTTGATAATGAAACTGGATTGGATCCTTCTGGTATAAGGATTAGACCTGTCTCTGGACTTGTTGCAGCCGATTACTTTGCTCCAGGTTATTTTGTTTGGGCCGTTTTAATTGCCAATTTGGCTCGCATCGGATATGAGGAGAAGAACATGTATATGGCTGCCTATGATTGGAGAATCTCATTCCAGAACACTGAGGTACTGTGATTCCGACTGCAGCATATGTGCGTTTTTCGTTGTTTTTCTGATGTATAATTTGCTGGAGGTTGTTTCCTTCCAACATCTGTTCTGAATTACGAAATATGTCCATCGGCCCAACTAGCAGCTACCCTTGCAAACTTACAACACATCTTTTATTCAAAATCTTCAGGTGCGAGATCAAACTCTAAGCAGGATCAAAAGTAACATAGAACTCATGGTGGCTTCGAGTGGTGGAAATAAGGTGGTTGTAATTCCGCACTCAATGGGTGTTTTATACTTCTTGCATTTCATGAAATGGGTGGAGGCACCGTCTCCAATGGGTGGAGGAGGTGGATCTGATTGGTGTGCCAAACATATAAAAGCCGTAATGAATATTGGGGGACCCTTTTTGGGTGTCCCAAAAGCAGTCTCAGGATTATTCTCAGCTGAAGCCAAGGATATTGCTGCTGCCAGGTATCTTTCTCTTCGATAGTCTGTTTTTCCTGACTAAAAAAATGAAGTGTTTTTTATTAAATTGAATTATATTATCTAGATCCTTTGTCTTTCTTCTTGTGAGATGTCTAATAGTTGTATGTAATTTGATGATGTTCTTTGTAAGATAACTTGTTATAACTTGCAATTCTCGTATAATGAACAAGTTCCCAACACCAAGGTCAAAGTAGTTTTGGCTTCTGTCCTCGCCTTTCTAGGAAAGTGGCTTACCTTTATATATTGGGTTCAGAAAGGATATTTAACTTCTCCTGTTGGTGATATTGTTGACCTGCAATCAGGTAAAAAATTTACCAACGGATAAAATTCATATTATTTAGTTCAAGGGAGCATTTCTGTGCAGGGCTCTTTTGCTTTATTACACGGTAATATATGGCAATACTATTACCTTCAGATGTCTAAAATGGTCTAGAAAGGATACCATGCAAAAAAATCACTTAAACCTCTCAGTTTCGCTTATTAGGTTTCTCCTCGTGCTACTACCTTCTATCTCGTTTCTTCCTTCATCTGATTCAGCACTGTTGTAGTTGTCTTCTCTCATAGCTTAGCTTCATAAAAGAGAATGTTATTGGTCTTTCACAATGTGCTATTGCATCTGTCAGATTTGAAAGATGAAATTGTTTGCTTTTTCTATTTTGTTCTACAGTTCTAAAGGGAGAGTGAGAGGGAGGAATGTGCAGAGATGGAACTTGAACCTGTGCTCCATTAAGTACTAGGATACTAATTCATTTTAGATTATGTTTTCAGCCTTCCGTTCCTCTTGCTCCTTATTGATATTCACCTGTGAAAAAGAGGTACATCATGACTTCGCTCAATTAGAGTTAAATGTACCACAATAAGGCTCCTAGTGTTAACTGTTAAGAGTACAGAAAAAAACATGAATTAATCTTTTTGTACCCTTTATGAAACTGTTCCGATGCCCTTTTCTCGATCAGTTCATCTCCTGTAGTGTGTGTTTGCATACTCTTGTGAAGGGAATGTATTGTTCACATGGGAAAAAAATGCATGCATGCACAAGTGGTTTTTCCATGTGCGCAAGAGACGTGTTACTAAGCCGCCTAACTTGGAGTTTCTACTCTTTTGTTTATCTGCAAGAGGCATTCCTGAGCTGAAGTACAATTTGCCCCTTCTACAGGTCTATGGCCCCAAGTTTTTTGGAAAGCGAAATGTTCAACTTTCAAACTTTACAGCATGTAATGAGAATGACTCGAACATGGGATTCAACAATGTCAATGATACCAAAAGGAGGGGACACTATCTGGGGCGGGCTGGATTGGTCCCCAGAAGAAGGCTATGAGTGCAACGAAAAGAAGCCAAAGAACAACAGCACCCAGACAGCAGAGAATGACAGGAGAAGAATGGCAGTTAATGCTACTCATGTGAAGTATGGACGAATAATATCATTTGGGAAGCATGTAGCTGATTTACACTCATCAGGGATTGAGAGGATTGACTTCAGAGTAATGTTCTTAAATTTTAAATTTTCACTAACGCTATGTCAAGGTTTTATATTGGCAATACAATCTTTTTTAAACTATCGTATCCATAAATTACATGATGAACCATTAGCTACCAGTAGGGTTAGATGCTTAGACCTAAATCCTCATATGCTGACAAAGAAGCACCTATCAGGCTGTCACGAACATGTTAACTATACAAAGATATCTTTTTCATGTGTGAGCTTTTCATATGTAGCCTTTGCTCTACCTTCTAATGTGGAGGATTGGAAGGCGTGGTGATATGAGACACAAATTGATAAGAAGAAAAAATCTTCTCTTTCCTATATGCCTCAAGTTGGAATGTCTTTTTTGATGATTCTAATTTCGTACTTATGGTAGCAGTTTCAGTTATGAACTGGCGGCTGAGGTCCACTGGTTCTATCATGTTTTTGGAGTTAAAAGGATAGCTTGACAATTTTATTCTGTTGAAAATGTGCAGGATCTCTGATGGATGGATCTTTCATTTGGTGCTTTCTTTTTCCTTATTGTCTTCATAGACCTGTCGTTGTGTGATATTGGTGGTCTACAACTTTTAGAAAACCTAAGCACTTAGAAACCAACAACAACAAACCCAGTATAATCCCACTAGTGGTGATCACTAGGTTTACTCCAAGCCCAGTATAACTATAATCCCACAAGTGGTAGTCACTTAGAAAACACGAGTGCGCAAACTGGCTAGGACACCACGGTTGGAGAAAAAAAAAAAATAAGCACTGATATGGTCACTAGGTTTACTCAGTTGTTAGGTACACTGCAATTTCTGCTTTTGTTAAGACTCTCTACTGAAACTTTAAAAATCAGGAATCTTAGGAAATTTCCCCTGCAAATCCTGTCGCAGGGTGAAGTAGTTTTGACATATATGATGCATCCTTAAGAGGCCAGAATTACACATGGTATGGGCAGAATGCCATGAAGCAACAGTTGCTCCATCCCTTTTTGATATATTTCGCTATCCACATATTGGTTTTATCATGTTTTGGATGTGCTTTATACGACTAGGTTTTCTGTGTCTAATGTTTGTTTAAACTTCTGTATACACAAGTTATCAGAAAACTATTCCAACTGTTGCATTTCTGCTTTCAAGTTTTAGCTTTCTTCAAAAAATAAGTTTTAACTTGCTCCAGTCCATTGTTCGGTTTTCTCCAGGATGCTATCAAAGGTAAAAGTCATGCCAATTCAACTTGCCGTGATGTGTGGACTGAGTACCACGATATGGGTATTGGAGGTGTCAAAGCTGTGGCAGATTACAAAGCTTATACAGCTGGATCTGTTTTGGATCTTCTTCATTTTGTTGCACCAAAGTTGATGAAGCGTGGTAGTGCTCATTTTTCATATGGTATTGCTGATGATCTGGATGACAAAAAATATGAACACTACAAATATTGGTCAAATCCCCTGGAAACAAAGTAAGGTTCTATATTGTTCTATAGAAGTATTCTTTGATCTGATATGTCCATGCTCGTGGGCCAGCTCTTCTCTTTATCTTCTTGACTCGAAGCACATCTACAGTTTGCAAATATATTAAGGACACAACTGAGACTCAGTCCTCTTTGGTTCACCAATTTTTGTTGTGTAACATAGATATAAAGGTGAAATATTTTCAGGGTTCTAGAGGCTGCAAACATTCATTTGCAAGTATGTGTCCCTCTTGTCAACTTTCACTGTCAGTGTCCTTCCCAAAGTTCCAGTTTGCTAGTTTAATGCTTGCTTCTGCGTTTGCAAGTAGTAGTTCATAGAATATGTTGCAAAAGATGCTCTTCCATCTTGCTTGACTTGGTTCAATATACGTTACAGCAATCTATTTGGCATATTTATAGTTAGTTCTCAGTCTTATGTTCCATTTACAGATTGCCGAATGCACCAGGGATGGAAATCTTCTCAATGTATGGAGTTGGAATTCCAACTGAAAGAGCATATGTATACAAACTTAGTCCTGCTGGGGATTGCTATATTCCTTTCCAGATAGATTCTTCGGCAGAGGGTGGAAATGAAAGTCCTTGCTTGAAAGGCGGTGTCTTTCATACTGATGGGGATGAAACTGTACCTATTTTAAGTGCAGGTTACATGTGTGCGAAAGGATGGAGAGGAAAGACTCGATTCAATCCATCAGGCATCCATACATTTATAAGAGAGTACAATCATGCCCCTCCAGCTAATCTTTTAGAAGGCAGGGGAACGCAAAGTGGTGCTCACGTTGATATAATGGGAAATTTTGCACTAATTGAAGATATCATCAGGATAGCTGCTGGGGCTACTGGAGAAGACTTGGGAGGAGATCAAGTGTACTCCGATATCTTCAAGTGGTCTGAAAGGATTAAACTGAAGCTTTAACATTTCATATGGTGAGTTTATGCCATGTCTTTCTTACAATATGACTCGTGCTTTTATGGTATCGAGTTTTATCTTTTGGTGTTATGATTAGAAAAGGTAAAAGAGTAGATCTTTAGGCTGATGAAAGGACTCATTCTATAATTTCACCAGATATAAGGTGCATGAAAATCGTGCACTTCCATTTTTTGTAGCTTAGAAGTATACTATATTAAGAGCATGAAGGCTTCGTTTTCTTAACTGAATGAATCAATGTCAGCTAAGATAGTTATTTGCTATACTATATTGGTGGTAGTTCCATACAACTTAGGATGCTGCTTTTGTACGCAGAATTTCATGCGTGCGTAATCAATTGCTTTCGCGAGCTGCTGGTGCTCTGCAATACAACTGGCTTCTCGTCTCCCTGCTGAAAAATCTGTTGTATTTGAAGAAGAGCCGGGAAACCTGAAGCTGCTTTACGTCAATGTCCTCGAACTGTAGATATTGCACGGAGCATGCATGTTTGCAGCCGTGTTCACTATGTTTAAATTTGACTATCATTAGGTTGCAGAACTTCATGTTCCTAGAAATTTTGGACATTCATTGATTTTTTCTGTAATTATTCGTAATTATGTCCATAGCTTAGTGCACACATTCGAAAGCAGCCAAGAACTGGTTGATTTGCTTTTAGATAGGGAAGTATTTATCCGTCCTATTATATGTTTTATGTATCAAGAATGTAATCGGTCAATTTATCTTCTTTTTTTTCTATTCAAGTTGGGTAGATAAAACTATCATAGCCGAAAATACCTCTATCTACTTTTATGCAATCAACTTTGATGCCCTCCCAGTAGGGTGTTCGTCGGTCGGTACGGTACGGTATTTAGATATTTCGGTTCGGTATTTTCGGTATTTGGTCTGTATGATTAAGATCTATAACAAGACTTGATTTCATTAAGATGGTATCACTTATTCATTATTAACTGCCGCCACCGCCTACCATTATCAACTACCACCATGCCACCACTACCACCATACTCAACCACCATCACCATCCACCATCCCCACCACTCCGACCACCATCATTCTCACCACAATCAATACTCATCCACCTCAACTACCACAACTAACCACCCCATCACCATCAACAACCATAGCCGGCACTGCCCGTCATTATAACCTACCACCACCCACCCACCACCTTCCTCAATCACAGCTACTACCACCACCCGCCAACTATCACCACCCACCACCACCATTGTCAATCATAATCGCCACCACTACCAATCACTACTAGCTACTAGCATGAACCACCATCATCAACCAAAGCTACCACCAACCACCGCCTCTAGTCGGCATTCACCCGTTAGCCACGCCACCAACAACTATCATATTTTAAAAAATTATATATTTTAGTGATAGAATATTAGATTAGTTAGTATTTCATTTGAATTTTATGTTTATTAATTTTCAAATAAAGATAAATTTTTTTACATTCAAATATTAAAAATCAAACAGTCTTAATTATTTAGTATTCAGATCTTAATACACATCTTAATATATTCAGATGTGTATTCAGATTTAGATGTCTTAATCTTAATACAATCTTGATATTCAGATGTGTATTAAGATTCAGACGTCTTAATCTTAAAAAAAATAAATGAGGCCTTAGTCTGTTTCAGAAAGAGCGACCCCTTTTTAAATTTGAAAATAATGTAACATTAAACTATTCGTTTTACCCGTAATGAGATGATTTACGATCATATAAATATCTATAAGTTATTTTAAACCACAAGTCTTTTGTTCCCTTTTAAACTCCATACACGGTCAAACAGCATGTTCATCTTTTTAGAACGGAGAGAATATTTTTTATTAACTAGTACTATCTCCCAGTCTCTAGAAAACTAAGTTTGATATATTGAGGGGGAATTTTTTCAATTTTTGATATATTTACATTGACGTGCAGTGTTTTAAAGGATAAAATTAAGATAAATGTTAGGAGTCGTGTCTAGATGGGTAATCTCTAATTAGGAAATTGAGTTTTTGGTTTGTGTCACAAGATCTAATTACGATGAAAATTCCTTTTTAATATTCGATAGGTTAAACAAATTTCGTATATAATCATACTTAGGTTCCTAATTCCTATGTTTATTTAGAGAGAACTAATATTTAAAAAATGAATTCTACTTCAAGTTATCTTATTTTATTCACTTTGTTGCGACCAAATAAACATACACATTACGAACCTAGGTATGAGTATATAGGAAACTATAATTACTGTAATATAAATATAAAAATGTTTCCCTTTCACTCGAAATATTATAATCTATATGAATCTATCTTACGTTAACTTGTTAAAGGTGACAATTTCTCCTTGTGTCTGTCGAAATGGATTAGAAAAGAGTCACGTAAGTATATACATGCATACTTTATAAAGTTATTAAACAAAATAAATTTAAAAAGCTCAAAATTCTCAATTAAAGCTTGATTTGATAAGGTTGACCTAAACATTTCTCATCATTTATCAACAATTAAATACGGGATTGTGAGGTGTTCAAGCATAAAATCTTACATTACTAATTAATCTCAATATAACTGATACGATATTTGGTTTACGCTATTAAAGTTTGCATAACTTGTGGGGCGTTTAATACCGGAAATCATATGGTGTATATATAACCAATACATGCATAAATTAAAAGATAATTTTATGTATTATTTTATATAAAAGTATGAGAGGTTGACCATGGCGGACCAGAAGTGGGGTAGAGGGATGCCTAAGAAGTACATGAGAGAGGTGATTAGGCGGAACATAACACTATTTCAGCTTACCGAGGACATGACCCTCGATAAGAGGTGTGGAAGTCGAGAATTAGGGTTGTGGGTTGACAGGTAGTCGAGAGCTTCTTCTAGTCTTAACTCTTGTTGTTACATGATGTATCATTCTCACCCGTATTATTGGTACTATTCTTGTACTTTAGCATTCCTAGATCATTGTCAATGCATACTGGGCCGTTTTGTTTTCGCATTCTATTACTTTATTGTTGCTATTATCTGTTTATTGCTTTTTTTCACTAGTCTTGAGTCGAAGCTCTTTCGGAAATAACCTTTCTAAGGTAACGGTAACGTATGCGTACACAGTACTCTCCCCAAACTCCACTTATATAATTCCACTCGATATATTATTATTGTTGTTATATTTTATATGAGATAGATAGTGGGATAAGTAGTAATACATATATTATCAATAAGTGAATAAGAGCATATTAAGACAAGATCAAAACCCTTACAACAGATGAATCTTAAATAATAATCCATGTATTATTTATTCACTGCATAACAATTCATGTATTGTATCATAATCCTGCATAATATTTACAACTAAACCACAATCAAACGATATTAAACTATGGGTCATTGCCTTGTATGTGGGGCATTTTGGTAAATAGGCTCAATGGACGAACCAATAACCTTAACCATTTCGAAATTAGTGAGTGTTTGAACATAAGAATTGTAAAATTTTAAAAAAGGGTGAAAAATATTTTCAAGTGAAAATGGTATTGAAATTTAGAGCTGTATTTCGACATGAATAGAATTTTGGATTGTTTTGTGAGTGATTTGAGTGAAAATTTTGGAAAACAGTTTTTTGAATTTCCTATGTCCAAACGGACTCTTAATCCATTTAAAATTCGGATTGCAAAACACACTCCAGAATTTAAGAGCGTGTACCTCACACGTCCAAAAAAGAAAAAAGAGAAAAAGAGAAGCTTAAGCGCGTGACAAGAAGTAATTACATTGGAACAGTAAAGGGCGGCTAAACACAGTGGGCAAAGACTAAAGTAATTACTCCCTCTGTTTAAACCTGTTTGACTGACACGAAATTTAAAAAAAAATAAATATTTTTAAATTTATGATCCTAAACAAGTTAAAAAAGGGTCAGAGTATTTGTGTGGTTATAAAAGCTTCTTATTAAGGATAAAAATGTAAGTTTAAGCTAAATTATTACTAAATTTAGAAAGTAATTATTTTTTTGAAACGGAACAAAAAGGAAATGGATTTAGTGTTATAGCACAGACCTCTGAGCCAATTAACACTCTCATCTTTTAAAAAAAGAAAGAAGTCAGAAATGGTTAAAATTTTGAAAACTGATGATGCCATTTATGTGTTTAGTAAGCTACTCTACTAGTACTATTTACTTAGCTAGTATTGGAATTTTCTTTTTAATTTTTAAACAGCAGAAGCAACAAGTTTTTTTAATACTATCTCTTTTATAGAGAGAGAGAGAGAGAGAGAGAGAGAGAGAGAGGGAGAGAGAGAGTTTGAAGGAAGGGAACATGCTTAATTTAATCCCAACAGGCGATTCTGGTGTTTATTTTCCTTTCTTTTCCTAATCTAAAGGTATTTCTCCATTTCTGAGATGATTATATATTTTCATATACGTAGACTTATTATTAGTCATGTTTTCTGTTTGTTTCGGTTATGTTTTGCAGTAAAACTTGCTATTTTTGGGTATTATCTCTGTGTTCTCCACTTCTGCTTATTGAATGATGAATGCATGTGGTTAACAAGATAGAATTTTGGAATGGTGCCTGTTATGTAAAAGAGATCTACTATTTGCTTTGGCTTTTCTTCTCAGCTACTGTTCTTGTTCCTTCTGGTAAAGCTGGGTTTTCCTGGTGTGTGTGTGTGTGTTTTTTTTTTTTTTTTGGGGGAGGGGGATAGCGCACGGGAAAAAAAGAAAATAAATAGGTTTTCAGGTATTTTTTGTTTTTCAGGATTTTCTCTCTTTTGTCATTTGTCATTAATTGGACTTATGGTTGGTTGGAGGTGTATTGATGAGTATTAATGATGCATGGTGATCAGAGGCGGATACAGTGTATTGGTGGTGCCGGGTTCATCTTAACCCGGTGCTTTTGGCGTAAAATATAAATTTATGTGTAAAGATTTCCTTAAATTGTTGGTATGAATCCATGACTTTAAAAATACAATGGATTCAATGCTAAAAACCTTAAAAATTGAATGCATGATTTAGTAGATGATGGAAATTTAGGCTCGCTCTATAAACTAAAAGAGGACCGATCCTTGTTTACCAACCACTCATTGTCTAACCAAATCCAATTCTCTCTCGATACGTTCCTCAAAAAATCCGATTCGGGCGGATTCTTCCCCCAACTAACGAAGAGATCTTGGCGGAATTGCCACATATGAAATTGAGCACAGTTTTGCAAAGAAATAGCCCACTTGTTTCTCGAGAAGAGATGGGAAACATGCTCAATATCATTTGATTGAATAGTTGACCCAGCCCCTTGTTGATTATTTGCTAGGTGATGGGCTATTGTTATGTTATTGATTATTAATTGTTAGAAGCTGCATGTAAACCTGGTACCCAAAATGACAACCTACCCTCTTCTTTATTCCTAGCTCCCGTCAACTACCTCAGTACCAATATGATTAAATTGTCTTGTTAAATAATCAAGTCTTTGTATAGCATGTTTGGCCACTTTGATTGATTTGCGGTTTAACTTGAATTTCCATGTTAGTTATAAGCTGGAGGGAAGGATGCCGAGGGTCTATTGGAAACAACCTCTCTACCGTAGGGTAGGGGTAAGGTCTGCGTACACACTACCCTCCCCAGACCCCACTTGTGGGATTATACTGGGTTGTTGTTGTTAGTTATAAGCTGGGCTCATGTGAAGGTTAGGTCAATAGTAGCACTGTAATAATATGTTATTTTGACGGCGATTTGAATAAAGGAGAAGAAATCTTGTGCTCTTTTGAGAGAGCATGCATTCTGGGCAAGTTGCTTGAATGGATATCATGGAGTTGCGTAAGATGTTAAGATGCCAATTGTAAATGGTGTTAAAACTTTAATGCTGCTTTATGCACTAAAGCAGTCATTTTAAGGGATCAAGAGAAAGTATCAAGTTTAATTTGATTTATTTGCCTCGCTGCTCTATTATGTTATGAGTGCTCTTTATTTATTTCAATATGTTATGCTTTTCTTTTTTTATTTTTTGGTCGATTGTGCAGCCTGCTACTCGTCTTTGTTGTTCCACCGGATTATGCCTAGGAAAAATTATGTGTGGGTAAGCAAATGGCTGTTCGAGCTCAAGCCTTACCAAATAGAAGCTTAGAACAAACTTCTACCTGCTTTGTGCCTCATTTTGCTGTCAATAGCTCAACTTGGTGGAGTTCCAATGAAGTACAGTCTTCACATTCTCTATCGAAAAATTTAACCTCAGAAGTGGTATTTCAACCTCCGCCCTGTCAGCAGATGAAGTCTCTTGGTCTGGGATTACAAGGCGACGACTCACACTCCACCCAATCAAATAGTAACTCCCCGCTAGAAGTGACTGCTTTGGGGAAAACAGGTTCTCAAGATTGCGCTTCTTCTGGATCTGGTACATATACTTGCACGCTATTAACCTTTGCAACTCTCTTCAGTGAGTCTTTTGGACTTTACAATTTCACTATAATCAGATAACGACTGCTGTGACTACCACTTCAGTAAGGAATGAAAGCACATCTCAATTTGTTTAGAAGTTCTTTGCTTAATGTTACTACATTTACAACATGATCTTTTTATAAGATAGTGACTTGCTTGTGCTGGCGATGGCTGAATGCTATATAAGAAAGTTATTTAATTTAGTATTGATAACTTTATAAAAATATATATATATATATTACAGACACTTCTACTACCAATTTGTCTCTAAACAGAATTTAACTATTCCTCGGATAGTTTATTTGCTATTAGCACTGGAGTACCTTAGGACTTGTTTTGCTTTTCTCAGTTCACGATGAGAGCTACAAAAGGCATAAACAAGCTCAAATCAAGCCTATTTCTTTTATTAGAAATCCAGAATATACTACTGATTGTTCACAAAGTGAAATGGCCCATTCAATTGTAAGTTCCTGCTATCCAAGGATATTTTGCTTTAACTTTTGTATTAAACTAATTTATCAAAGTTTAATGTTGCAGATCCACACTCCTTTTGGTTATTCCGACCCCTATCTAAGTGGCTTATATGCTGCTTATGGACCTCATGTTTTTGTGAGTACTGTAATGTCGTCTTTGCCTCTCGTATTGCTTATTTTTCAGTTTCTTTTCTTCTTTCCCTACTAGTTCACTTTTCGTGATTGCCGACATATAAAATAAAAGGTGATCCGTTAACATTTGTAGTCTTTTTGACATATCAAGTCTTGATTTATGAATATGAGAGAAGGCTAAATACACTTTTAACTCTTTTATGTTTTTGCAATGACATCGTATTGGCTTGTTTTCTTATCTTACCTGTCCTCAATTAAAACGCAATTAATCTCGATTTTTCTATATCTTTCTATCCTTGTGTGAATGATGTTGTAAAACTTCAAGTTGTTTGATTTTACTGAAGTTATGTTTCATCCTTTAGCCTGAAGGAGAAGCACTAGGTGTTTTTGACTCTACTAGTCTCTCTATAGTTTTAATTATGATGTTTGACCAATTCAGCCTCAAATGATGGGCATAGCACCTGCCCGCCTCCCACTACCCCTCGATCTTGCAGAAGATGGACCAATCTATGTAAATGCAAAACAGTATCATGGGATCTTAAGGCGCAGACAGATACGTGCTAAGCTTGAGGCTCAAAACAAACTTGTCAAAGCTAGAAAGGTACATGTTACGTTTCGTGTTTTCCTATCAAGTTCAAATCTGTTTGTCTGAATTGATTTTCTGCCAACGCACTACGCTGAGACACCAACCTGGGGAAAAGGGATAGACCGAAGAGTTTCTTCACATTGGTACTTGACTTGAAGGTTTTGTTTTTGCCTCTCTGGAAGAGGTTTTCTGGTTAAGGTGTCAATGGTCCGCGGACTCTCTAAAATGCTGCAGTACCCGTGTCGGATCCCCCAAAAATGCACTAACTTTTGGAGGATCCGTCACGCACCCAACGACGAGAGTCCGAACAACATAGATGGTGTGTTGTAGGAGTTTCTCAAGCTGGTCAATAATGTCTATCTAGTCTAACTAGGAAGAGATAAAGGTTTTTAGTACCATGTTTACATATTGAAGCAACTCAAGTGTAACTGGACTAATTAACATCATGCAACTCTGCATGTAGTGTAGTCCCCACCAATGGTCTCTTCTATTATAAGCTTAAGCCTTCTTTTTTAGCCACTATTTTAAGCTTAAACTTGCTATAACTTCTAATTTTCAATCTACATTGGGGTTAATCAACCTTCACAGGGGTAAGGTCTGTGTACACATTACCCTCTCCAGACTCCGCTGTGTAGGATTACACTGGGTTTTTTGTTGTTGTTGTTGTTGTCGTATTGGGCTTAATCTACTTTCATTTTCCTTGTTGACTGCATACAGCCGTATCTTCATGAGTCACGGCATCTTCACGCGGTAAAGAGGGTTAGAGGGTCCGGAGGGCGTTTTCTTAGCACAAAGAAGGTTCAAGAATCAATTCCAAATGACCATATTAACTCGAATTCTTCTCTGGACTTGGTTACACGCGAAGCAGCTCCAACTTCTGCGTTCTTGAGCATCCGACAGGATGATGCGCATAACGGAGTCATTTTCCAGCAGCAACAGCTTGATCACAGGGCCTCAAGTTTATCCTCTCACATGGCTGTTTCCATGCAAAGTAGTAGGAGTACTGGCATTTGATGAAAATGTGACTATATGTACTCACAGTTGTCTGGTGATTCAAGTTTCAACTCACCGGCGGGCAATTCATCCTTGGCTTTTTACTGTTATGTCTTCCTGGTTACTCTAATTTTTTTATAAGGTCTTCTGAGGTTATTCTAATTAACTGGATTTTCCACTTTTGTAATGGTGTACTTTTGGTTGAACTCTAGGTGCTTTGAACCCAACTTTATGGAAAGTTTAAAAGTTCTCTTGTTATGTTTAATGGTTTGTTGTTGTTACTGCTCTTAGCTACTGCTTTCTTTCTTTTTATTTTTTCTTGAGTCGGGGTCTATCTGAAGCAACCCATCTACCTTCAAGGAAGGGGTAAGGTCACGTACACAATACCCTTCCCAATGATTAAATGACATATTCTCACTTTACTATTAACGTTAAATCGTTCGATTTGGTGTAAACACAGGGTGTCTCTCGGATGCGGCTCATCTTGAAGTGTAACAATGAGGAGCTAGAAACCCCACACCCACCCCCCATCCCAAAAAAAATACTTATAAAAATAAGAGGAAATATTCATGTTGTTTAAGGAGTGCAGAATAGATTTATGATTGAAAACTGGAAAGAGAAAGGAGAGTTGTGTTTTTAATTTGGGAAAATTTCATATTAAAACAATTGAGCTGCCTCCTTTTCAACTTTATAGCCCATATTTCAATTTACAATTGAGTAGCCCAAAAATTATAGGTCCATATCCGAAAAAGGGGCGTTATTTCCGTTTTTTTTTTGAGTAAGAAGCGGGATTTTCTGCATTTTCTCTGATTCTTTCCAATCTTCCGATCAATGCAGCTCCAAAAACCCTAGAATTTCTTCTCCATCTCGAATTAACAACAAATCAAACACGAAAAGTAAAATTTGTTTGCTGCAAATCAGCGCAATTTTCGTTTTTGCTGCAATTTTGATTTCAATTTTTTGTTCGATGGAGATTTTTCCAGTTTACGTTCTTCATAGTGGTGAATGGGAAGAAAACAAGTTTATCAATTTCGTCAGCGATTGTGTAATAATCGAGTCGACATTCACCTACAACAATTTAGTTGCAGCTATTTCGGAACAGATTAGGATCGATAGTGAGTTAAACACAATAGAGATTAACTTTCTCCCAAATGTTGGTTTGCCACCGATCCTGATTTACAACGATACAGGTGTGAAGGTGTATATCGAATTAAAGAAGAAAAACTTGAATTTCACTGAATATCCGTTGTTTGTGACGGTGAAAGAGATTTATGAAAATCGTTTGGTTCCTACAAGTTCTAGTTGTGTAGTTGCTACAAGTTCCAGCTGTTTGGTTGCTACAAGTTCAAATTCTAGAGATGTATCAACAATTGATAGCACTGAGATTATTGATATCAAATTTATTGAAAACACGAAATTTAGTGAAAACACGGGTATAATATATGATATATTGAACGAATTTGTTGAGGAAGATCAAGTTTATAAGGATAAAGAGATAGTTGTCAGTGTAATGAAGAACTTGGCTGTATGTGAGAGGTTCCAATTCAAGGTGAAGAGATCAGTGCAACAAGGTATGTAAATAATTGTATATTCTGTTATATATATGTATAAATATGTATAAAGTAGTATATATTTGTATATAGGTATTAAAATTAGTATATATGTAGTTATGTTTTTGTATACAAGTGTATTTAGAAGTTGAATGATCTTTAATCCTAGGTATCACCTTATGTGTATGGATGACAATTGTGCTTGGAGTTTCAAATCTTCTGCCGTTTTCAAGGCAAACATATTCAAAGTGAGAAGTTACAATAATAATCACACATGCGGCTATGGTGAAAGATACTTAACACAACGTCAAGCTACTTCGGGTGTAATTGCTAGTATAGTCAAGGACAAGTATGTTAATCCAAAAAAAGTTTACACTGCAAATGATATAATAAAGGACATACAAAAGCAACACGGAATTGAGGTGAGCTACATGAAAGCATGGAGAGCTAAAGAGATAGCAATGGCAATGATAAGAGGGAGTCCAAGTGATTCATATAAGGAGTTGCCGAAGTATTTTTATATGTTGGAGAAACAAATCCAGGAACGGTTACAAAGTTGCACAAATCAGAAGATAGATGCTTTCTTTATGCATATGTTTCGCTATATGCATCTATCAAGGGCTGGGAGCATTGCAGACCGATAATGGTTGTTGATGGAAGTTTCCTTAAAGCAGCATATAAGGGTACCATATTGACTGCTTGCACACAGGATGGAGCTGGTGAGTTGACTGCATCTACCTTGTTTCTGCAGTTTGTATAATGTTGTAGTTTCATGTATAAAAGTGTATAGGATTTCACAGCTACTGTTTTTATAAAATTTGCAGTTTCATGTATAAAATTGTATAATTGTGTATAACTGTGTATAAGATTTGTATAATTGTCTGAATCCTAATATCTATTTTGTATAAACAGGAAAAATCCTTCCACTTGCATATGCAATTGTAGATTCAGAGAATAACAAATCTTGGGAGTGGTTCTTTGTCCAGATAAAGGGTACTTTTGGAGTTAGGGAAGGGATGTGTATAGTTTCAGATAGAAATGAAAGCATCTTCAATGCCACAAAAGCTGTGTACCCAGAAGTACCACATTGTATTTGCATGTTTCACTTGTGGCAGAATGTAAAGCGCACATTCAAGAAACATCACAAACAATTGAAGGATATCTTCTTTGCTTTGGCTAGAGCTTACACGATAGAGAAGTTTGAGTACCATATGACAGAGATGTGCAAAATTGATCCGAGAGTGCAACCTTACTTGTTCGAAATTGGCTACGAAAGGTGGTCTAAGGCATATTCCAAAGTGAAAAGGTCGATGGTAATGACTTCTAATATTGCAGAGTCAATTAATGCAACAAACACGGATGCTAGAGAGTTACCAGTAATGCGATTGCTGGAGTACATGACAAATTTGCTACAACAGTGGAACAACAAAAACAGAAAAAGTGCAATGGAGACATCTACAGAGCTTGGCGAAAAGTACGACAAACTCCTTCGGGAAAATCAGATTGCATCGGAGCAAATGACGGTAAATTGAATAAAATATAATGATGCTTGGCACTGCTGACTTGCATTTTACTGCTTGTATAAGGATGTATAACTCTGTATAATAATGTATAATGTTCTTTCACTTTTTTTTAAAAAAAAAAAACTTTTGCAGGTGAGGCCTGCTACGGAGAAGTTATATACTGTGTTTGAAGGGGTAAGGCGAAACATAGTGTGCCTTAAAGAGGGAACATGCAGTTGTGGAAAATTTCAAATGGATGAACTTCCATGTCCGCATGATTGGACGGTTTTGAAGAACCAGCAGCTGAAACCTGGCTAGTATTACTCTTTTTACTACAAGAAGGATAAACTCCTTAGAACTTATGAATTCCCAGTGAATCCGATGCCAGATGAGAGTTTATGGGTAATCCCAACAGAGGTGATGGAAGATGTGGTCCTACCACATAAAGGGAGAAGAAATGCAGGAAGGCCAAGAAAGGAAAGACTCAAACCTACTTCAGAAAAAGAGTCTAAGAGGGCGTTTTCATGTTCTGTGTGTGGACAAGGTGGTCACAATAGAAAAACATGTAGGAATCGACCAAAATAAATAGTTGAAAACATAACACTTCCTATTACATTTTGTTGTCATGTTGAGTAGTTAAGTTTCACAAAGAATAGAGTTACAAATGTTGAGTAGTTAAGTTTCACAAGTAATCGAGTTACAAATGTCAATAAAGAATTACAACTTACGCTATATATTGCAATTATGTTAAATATGTTTCATTATACATGTTTTGATTATCCAATAATAGTGTGTTGCTGTTTTTAATGGTGCTAAATATATTGATAGATTGTACAAATACAAAACAGAACTGCTGGTATTATATGTATACAAATGTATAAATAAGAGTATAAATTTGTATAACTATGTATATTATTGTATAAATATGTTTAAACCCTGCTACATTAACAAAACTGCAACCATAATGAAAATACATACTTTGTTAAAGGACAAAAGCAATTGATATATTCATTAAAATGTAATTCATTCACAGCCACAATGTAAAATGACTACCGCAAATTACACAAAAATAAAAACATCTATAATATCCTTTAAGGCTATCTCACAAGTAGCAGAATAGTACTTAGACAAAACTAGGCAACAACTCCTGATACATAGAAAAACTACAGTAAAATGGAAAAAACAGAACTACTTTCTCGGTCGCCCCCTTTTCCTCTTCTTGAAAAGTCTCCCTATGATTTCACCACCACTAATTACACCGGACTGTTGTTTTTTCCTTCCATAATCCCACAACAGAGATCCCCACCTGGTGCGAAGTGTCTCAGTGTCAAAATTATCTTTTCGAATTTCCTTACCAAGGATGAAATACTCAGCAAAGCCAACAACAAAGGCACCACAATCACTGTAATTAAAAAGAAACAAATCAGATTCAAATAGGTACACTAATAGTAAAATAGTAAAACAATTGAGATTAACCTACCATTTGATCTGTTGGGGAACATTATTAACCAGATTAATCTGCAAAGCATCAGAATGGGATTTATCGGTATATGCACTATTGTTCCAATCAATGCCCTTCTTCTCGACATAAAAATCAGAACTCTTCAAGAAGTAAGGTATCAGAATTGCATAAGGTAATGCAACATCCAAAACAAGTCTATCATTAATACGGTTAGAATCATAGATGTGGATGCACCTATCTATGAACGTAAACACCCCCAAAACCCAATGGCCCAATTTTGCTCTTCCGCGCTTCACATAGATAGGGAATAAGACGTGGTCAATAGTGTGCCACGGGACATTTGCATCACAATAATATCCTCTAATGTACTCTTCTATCTCATGCCCTTCAAGAATCACTGAAGGATCTTGATTCACTTTGAAAACTTTATACAGGGAGTTGATTTTGTTACCAAAGGCAAAGTCAGTTGTAGTAAACCACATGGCAACACTCGGCCCATATTTTCCCCTCTTCCTCAAATAATAAAAGAGGACATCCAAGTGCTGAGACAAGAAATAAAACAGAACAACCATCACTACCAGATATTTTAAATATAGAAATTTATACACTATTATACAGAGGTATACATATTTATACAAGGTTATACAATCTTATACAATATTATACTGTGATTATACAAAGCTGTGTATAAACTATGGGGGTCTCAAGTAATAAAGATATGCAACAAATAAAAAAAGGCATTAGAACATAAATTTATTAAATACCGTGTCAATGAAAGGTCGACCACAATATGCAAGTGAGTGGAACCAATCCTTCGTGGTCACATTACACGAGCCAAAAGTAAAAGCTTTCGCAAGCTTATTTACTTCATCGGGATATATATTTTTGGCACTTCAAATCACAAAAAATAAAAAGTAATCAGAACTACATTCATTGACAAGTATAAAATCAGAACATGAAAGATTAAAGAAAGTGAAGATACATTCGCCTCGTATCCATCCCATTATCAACAAACGTGCAAAACTCTTTAGCCAATGGCGACAATGGATCAAAATCATCAATTTCGATCGTAAAAGGATGCTTGATATCAAAAATGAGCTTGGGCGCCGATCCTGATGCCCCCGATCAAAAACTGGCAAATATGGAGATTTGGCATATTTTTCTGGTATTTTCTGTCGAACTGACTTTTTAGGAGAAATGTAATCATCTTCTACGTCTATGATGGATTGTTTGTGAAGCACAATTTGGGACATCTGTAGCGCAGCTAAATCTTCATCGCCAATGTCATCCCAAAATGTGTCACCCTTGACATCACCTGCTGCCCCTTAGACAGAGAAAACAAATAATAAAAAACTTTAAAATGAAGAAAAGAAAAATCAGACAAAAAAAAAGATTAAATGCAGAACAAATACCATGATCAACACCATCAGTAACTCCCTCGTCAGCTAGCACATCATCTTGATTCACTTGATTGACAAAGTCAGGAACAACATCATATTAGCCATCAAATTCGCCAAGATTAGATGTATTGTCATCAGACACGCGCTGACGAATATAATAAAAAACAATAGAAAGAGAAGGCATGTTGAGTGATGATTCAGAGAAGGCATAACTGTTGAGTGATTTGATTTTATCATTAAACAATTACCTTAGAATCAGTAAAATCCTCACTCGTTTGCTTGGTTTCCTTCATATTCAGAAAACTGAATACTTTTTCAAAGGAAGAAACTACATAATTGTTGAGTGTCGTCACTGTATCAATCAACTACAACAACAACAACAACAAAAAGCAAATCAACAAACCATGTTTATAACCAAAAAACCATGTATATACAAAAAGTACTGATAAACTACAGAAAAGCTAAAGGTCCAGTACCTTTCCAACAGCACTCCTTAACTTCTCAACTTCAGCATTCAACAGATCAATGCACACCAAAGGATCATAACTCGGGTTAGGCTATCGATCCATATTCTGAGGAAAAGGTCGTTTAGACTGTTGCTCCGTATTCTGAGGATAAGGTCGTTTAGACTGTTGCTCCATATTCTGAGGACAAGGTGGAGATGCAGCGACAGAATCATCAGTGTGAAAGGCAGGCACCACAGGCACATCCCCTGATGCAATATCATCGGCATTAACTTCAAAAAGCGTGTTGATGTTCAGAGTTGACATCTCTTCACGAGTAGGGGAAATGTTCTTATAGTTCAACTACAAGAAGAAAAACTGGATTACAATGGTAGAAAAAGGAAATTGTGACATATTCATAAATATACATACAGAAAAACTGAAATCATATATGAAGAAGTATTATGGTACAAAATGTTTACCTTGTCGATACTACACATGATCACCCCGCCAGTCAAATTCGCATATGTTGGAGTTTCAGTCACTTTCCAATTAAGAATGCGTGGCACTTTTGTGCCAACGCGAACAGCTAGATGCTTGTCAACCATAGAGCAACACTCAAAAAACCATATTTGTAATGCAAGTGGCAAACCTCCAAGCCTATACATTGTCAAATAGTCACACTGTCTGTCCCTCGTTGTCCTTAAAATATCTTCAAATGACTTTTTCCCCCAAGCATACGTCTGATATTGACCACTCTCAATGATATCAAAATCATCTTTGTTGATACCATGATTATTGGCATCTAAGAATATGAAATGATGGACAAACACCATCAAGGCCATCTTGAACGCATCTTCGTCCGACTTCCAGTCCTTTTTCTTGAAGCGATCAAGAAGCTGCCCCCTCGTTATAGCCTTTTTTCCATCTCCTGGAAAATACTCTTTTATCAACCTATTAACATCTGGTTTGTCATAGAAAATGGCGTCGTCTTCTACACACTTCAAACCAGTGATAACAACAAACTCTCCAATGCCAAAACGCAGCAAACAACCATTAATTTGCACCCACAACTCCCTTTCACGTCCTGGGACGACTTCCCTCAATAATATACAAAGAATAAGTTGTTTTGAATTTTAAATTGAGGGAGGTCCAAGAAGTATCCAAAACAACTAGCACGAAACATTTGAAGCTGCGTGTCAGTCAAATATTGCTTCAAAATGCTCACAATCTCAGTCTCGGTGTGGGAGCTAATTCTGTTGTGGAAATAATCAACTGGTTGTATATAGAAGTCCCCAACCTTGCATATGGAAAAATAACAAGAAATAGATCAGGAACAAAAACTATACTAAAATATTTTATAAAAATGTATAAATAAGTATAGCAGTACTTGTATAAAGATGTATAAACAGATGTATAACTTTGTATAAAATTGTGTAAGCATGTATAAATTAATAGCAACACAAGGAATACCTTCAACTTAGCTTTTCTCTCATTCAATTTGCAGCGAATAGCAAACCTTTGTTCTTTCGATAAGGAATCAAGGCCACTATCACCATCGTCCTTGATCTTTCTCCTTTTCGGTTTAACATTGCGGCCTACATCATCTTCATTAACCAAATCAACTTTCAGCTTTGGAGGAGGAGGAGACTCAAAATCATCATCATCGGGAGCCTGGACATGTGTATTCGCTTCAGAAGAAGGTGGTGAGAGCAAGTCACTCGATGATTTAACTGGAGTGGGAGTATTTCTCGTTTGCGAACGAGTCATCCGACTACTCTCTTGTTGAGAGTTTTTAGGAGGAGTAGGAGACTCAAAATCATCACCATCTGGCGTATGGACATTTACATTAGATTCAGAATCAAGGCTTGAGGGCAACTCCCTCAATCTTTTCGCATAATCTAACTTAACGCCTTTTCCAGCAATCTTCATTTTGCTTTTAGAAGCAACTACTTTTGAGCGCATTTTCTACAATAAACCAACCAAACAAAGCTTTAACAAAAGTGAAGACAA